TTGTGAAAAAATGGTACAAGTAGCAGACAAATGATCGACGACACAGTTAGAAGTGAAAGAAACGTTTCCTTGATTCAGAAGCGAAAGTTATATGTACTTTTTACGGGCAAATTTCACGCCGATTATACGACCGATTATTAAAAAGCAAATCGCGTTAAGGATAAATTATTCCGCTAGTCTTTGCATCATAGAGAACGTGCGCGTTACTAGGACAATTTTACAGTAAAATCGTATAAACGCCAGAATACGTCAATCATTCTTTAATGCGAATGAATTTTAGGTAACCGAGGCTAAATCAGTATGGGCCAATAACGTTGATCGTTAACGAAGCACGGCGTGCATCAGTGTTAAACTAATGTACCACCTTGCCAATGAGAAATTGTATGAACATCCACAGACGTTGGCTGTATTTGACGTTGCAAATTTTCTGCGAAAGACACACGGTACATACAGCGCTGTATAAAGTTTAAACGGATCGAACGAACCCTGCTTTAACACTAAACTACATTTATATACTTGACGCAATTGCAAAAGCATAGAAACCGATTGCAAGTAAAATTCGGTTTTGATGTTCGAAATGTTACGAGCCTGGAAAACGAGATCGATGTCACAGCTGCTTCCCAATACAGTTTCTTACGTTTTAGGGAAAAAATTGAGCGAAGGATCGTGTTTTTTACGAATTCGAATTCTACGAAAAAAGCAAGCCGATATCTCGTTGCCATAGGGATGACTATGATTTTAACAGAGAATCGCGGGAAATACGAATATACGCGCGGATTTTTGCACGTAACCGACGCGAAATGTTAATGATAATTGAGCAAAGGTAACCGATAATATTTCCAACGCGAACTGAAAATCGTATAAAACGATGATGATCTTATTATTGGGATCAACGTGGAAAAACACGGTTATGCTAAAGTTACGGTATAATCTACGCGCAATCAGCGTAATGCCACATTTCTGCAAAAGTTACACAACGGAATTAGCGAAAAATACAAATAGCTATAAAATTCGTGTACAATCAGTTGTTCGAATAGTATATCAGAGTAGCGCGTGAATTTTATACCGAATCGTCGTAATACGCGCTGCATACGAGGATGTGTACACGTACACGCGCACGTACACGCGCACGCATCACGCATTTGCCGTAGTCGACCGATGTCTGTACATAGTTCGGTTTGCCGCCGGGAGAAGAGGTAAAATCGTCCCGTTTGGCAGACTGTTTGAACGTTTTGCGACGAGTTTATTCGAGTTATCAATTTCCTGACAAATATCTGCATTTCCGTGCTCATATTTCATATCTCTCTTACTCCGCCCTTTCGCTTTTTTTTTTTTTTTTTTTTTTTTTTTTTTTGCCCCTGTTCCACGATCACACTATAATCGATTTGATTTCGATAGAAAATTCCAAAGCTGTTTCTTCTCACGCGACCATCGCTCGTCACTTTGATAGAAAAATGTAATTAATCGATAGCATTTATGGATTTCGTTCGTAAGTAGAAATATCTTTGTACTGTGTATTATATTTATTCTCAAGCTAATATCAGTATGCCGCCTAATGAAATATTGAGATTCAAATGATACGGATATAATTTGGACAAACATATATCCGATAAAATATATAACAAAATATAAAGAAAATAATGCGATTTAGTTGGATAAAATGTTTACGAAAAATGATTAATTCATCGTTTCTACTACTCTGACAACTCTAAATCTCATTTTACTTTAAACAGAAAAACCTAACAGATCTTCCCTTTATTTCGCTATACTTTATCGAAATATTTCGCCCGTTTGTAAATCTTTGTAGATTGCTCTCAAGTCTCTTTATAAATCTTTTTCTCGTCTAATTATAACACAGGGCAGAAATAATGCTTACCCGTAACGGAATATGATAAATCATGGGTATCGCCAAAAGGTCGATGATTACGCGTATAGTTATACATAGCCAGCATACTAATATTAATTGCAGATTTTTCTGCGCCGTCAGATCCAAATAGAGGCGTAATGTAAATTCGCGAATGGAGTAGCAAATGACTATTTACCATGATTCCCTGTCAATCGTGATTATGAACATATTTCATGCGTAGGTATCGATACATTGAAACCCCCTTCTGGAGCGCGGCTACCAAAAAGGGCGGGCGGCTATGCGAGCATTTACGATGCAGCGTTGCGTTTAAAACGCACACCAACAGCTCACAGGCGCACGATCAAATTATTTGCTGATCATTTCACGATTTTCCCCACAAATTCTCCAACTCTATACGTAGATTACGCAATTAATTTCTACCAGTTAAAAAAAAATCTTCACGCGCTTACACACGTCGATATCGTCTTAACGTTATACGGCGTAATAGCGCGCAACTACGAACGTTATTTTCGTCGTTTCGTTAAATCAACAACCTCGTCGTCAATTTTCTCTTAGTTTTCTTCGATTCTTTTTCATCCGTTCGCAGAATGATTACGTTTATTTGTGCCGGCTATGATCCATCGAGAGGTAGAATTACAGATTTGCAATTGCGAAAACACGCGAATTTGCAAGAGAACCGATATGCTTGGAAATAATTAACAGATATCCAGTTAACTGTACACTCGGCTGAAAATTATCAATGGTCTAATGGCGTATCTGGATTACAGAAAGCCGGTAAACGAAAGCAGACGATGTTAGAAGACCAAGTGTTGTTCCGAGAATACGTAGTTGCGCAAGTCTGCGACACCCTGTATACGAGACAAGAACGCTATGCAGCGTGCGAAGCTTTATTAGAAGCAAGTTTATACTACGGGCTTAATTGTTGCAAAACGCAGAGGAAAGTACAGTTGGGCGAGGCGCGCGTAAAAATCTACAAAAGTTGGGAAAAAAGGATCTTCAATTCGAAACCGCTTGAGTGCAGTTTTGCGGAATCGGTGTCCCTTCTGAAACGCAGACTCGCCGCCACAAAGTGAATATCGACTAATTAGCGACGCGGCTAACGTCATAGGGTTCGCCACGGTCAAAGGACATCGTTATCCTGGCGCTGAACCATTCGAAAAATAAACCTAAAAAGTCTGCTGCTTGACGCCAAGGTTGCACACCTTCGACCTTTTCCAACCCCCGTTTTTTTTTTTTCTCGTCTCGCAATCAAACGAAAATTAGCTGCGGTGGAACGAGCAGACAGCCGACGAAAGAGAAAGAAAGAGAGGAAAAGAGAGTTACAGGAAAAGCTGACCGCTACGTGCTGTTTTCGGTTTTAATAAGAGAAAGAATTTACAGAGCGAAAACTGTTTGGTCGACGAAAGGACAAAGTACTTTCTTCGAACGCAAAGTGCAAAGAGGATGAACGATAAAAATCTCGCCAAATGCTGGATGAACGTTGAGCTCGAGAGAGAGAGAGGGAGAGAGGGGGGAGGGGAGAGAGAGAGAGAGAGTAGCGAAAAAAAAAAGAAAAGAAAGAATGGTTCACCGCGAGAATCGTATCCGAGAAAAATGAATGGCTCTATCTTTCGGTAATTAAGACTGTACCGAAAAATAAGCAAACACATGGAAACAAAGCCCGCGTGAGCTTTCAGACGCGACACAGCTGTTGCGCCCCTGAGAATTCAAATAAACGACTTAGGTAGATTAAGCATACAAATCTTCGTGGTTCCTCCTCTGCAAATTCCTATATACGTTTCAGCTGCTCTTTGTATATACATAGAACGTTTGTCAACATAAAAATCATGAAACCTACCGGCTGCGTTGTTAGATGTAGCAAGATACTCTTTTATTATTCGAATGCGTTTCAACGCCACCGATGTTACGCTTATTCGTTTCGTTTAATTTATCATTCGTATAACTTACACACGATAAAGAATTTTTTCATCTGTCATTTATCCGACACAGAATCTGCTACGGTACTACAAAAACTAAATACGAATATTCAATATCGAATATGAATATGTATGAATATGAATAATCATCAATATCCGCTGAGAGAAATCTTAGGTTTCTAGAAGAGTTTCAAGGTAGGAGAACTAACGATATCTATCCATAGATATTACACGAGACACTGGCAAAACGAACTCGAGACGATATCGTAGCTAAAACACTATATTTAAAATGTAAAGGAACATGCATCGTCGCGTTACATGTATAAAAGAGAAAATATTTATTAATTGTAATATCGTGGATAAATGTTTCATCGAGTGAAAACGCAAAAACAATGCAGCATTAAATATTTACGCGCGCGATTATCTTTTCAATTATACTTTTAATCTTTTAATCGTTTCGTTCTTTTTGTTCCCTTTTTTATTACGTAATTAAACGCCTAACTTCTTTTAAGAAAGAGGATAGAACATAGAGTTAAAAGCACAGGATCTTTTTCTATGCTAGTTGCGATTCCATTATATTCGAAACACCGAGGATCGTAAGACCGTGTCCAATAATACAAGTGTCAAAAAAATATTGAGAAAGAGAACAAGAAAAATATTAGACAGATAGGGATAAAGAAGATCTAGAGAGTAACTACAAGAGCGAATAATCTCGCGAACGGATTGCGGATTTTTATGCATTGAAATTCACTTTCTTACGGATACGATCAAGAAAACTGAAGCTAAACGTCTTCCTCGCAAATCGACTGTCACAACAACTTCGCGTTGAACGTTTTATATATTTTTACATATTACGCACGCTTGATAAATGACGTACAGTGAGAGTGTAAACGAATCAGTGATATTAACGATAAAGCTACCCACGACTAAAGTACAAAACTTGTTTCAAAGAAATTAGAGTGCAAGAAATAGAACAGTCTACCATACTACTCTTATACTTCACGCAAAAATTATTCCTAAGAGTACACCATTACAAATCTATGAATTACGAATTATTCGTTTCGGTGACGCTGGTAGTTGCAGCGTTAACCGACTCAGACGCGATGCAAACTACGCGTATACGTCTTACGCGTTGATAGGTACTTAAATTTGCCACAAATGCACAAAAATCCGCAACTGTTGCCAGAAGAAGGGAAAAACGAGAAAAGCGGACTCACGTCGATACGGTCGTCCCTCCTCGGGCGTAGATCTTTCCGTGTTCTCGGACCCAGGCGTGGCATTCGCATCGCGATCCTCGTCCTCCGGAGTGGTGCCGCGATTAGGAACCGAACCGGTTCCGGTCCCTGTAGGCGATCGGCTGGTAGAGCCAGCGGGACTCTGCGGTGCGACTTCCTGTGCCGCTGCCGCGCTCGCACCTCCTCCGACGCCTCCGACGCCTCCGACGCCTCCGATGCTCGCCGACGCTCCAGAAACAGAGACGACGGCGCCTCCGCTGGCCGAGGACAACGACGAAGGCGAGAACATGTTCGACATGCTCGACAATGAGCCGATACTTGGCAAACCGGAACCGGTGACCGGGCCGTTTCCTGTTTCCACTTTCAGACACTTGCTCGGCGGAGCGAAAGCCGATGGCCCCAGGGGCCTGAACCCTCCGAACGGTAAACGGTGATCCAGAGGGTGCAAAAATTGCGGCGGCAAGTGGAGCATATGATGGAGGCCGTAACCCAGAGAAGCCGCAGTGCTGAACGGCACTTGGAGATCCTTCGAGTCGGTCACCTGGACAATAAAGAAGAATATCATTAGTCACGGAGAGATTGTTATGGGATAAATACACTACCGTGAAAAAGTGCTTGGATCGTTAGTTGATTTTGATAGACTGTAGTAGCTTAATTAGAAAATTAGGCGTAGACTGTGTTATTCTTGTAACTTGCGATTGTTAGATCGTAGATACTTACACAAATTTATATTTCTATGCTTACACGGAACTGGGTTACCATCACACGTACAAGCGGGCATAAAAGTTATCGTCAATAACTTATTAACTATCAGACAAGCAACATTGTAGCTAATTAAAGTTTAGTTGTAGGAATTAATGTAAGAAAAAATGTTTGAAATCTTAGAACGCGTATCTCAAGCTCGCAGCTTATTTAAATATTATTTTTTACTTAATTAACCAGTTTATTAACAAACTTGGAATAATTAAACTCTTTCAAGTTTATAGCTAGCGTGTAATAACTGGTATGAACGAAATTGCCGTTTATAGAATATTTTAAATATTAATTATTCTACATAATATAATGTAATTAAAGGTTTTAATATTAAATTTACTCACTACACGAATCGTTTCAAATTTCTGCTTTGCAATTCATAATTGAAGAAAGGAAACGCTTCTAATTGGATATTACGACCGTACGTTAATTATCTGATACGGTACTGTGTAGAAATCTTACGCCAATTTACTTCATATATTTTTAGGAAACATTTCTTACTTAAATGGTTTTTCCTCTACCTTCATGATCGTTGCTCATAAATTTTTCCAAAGTTCCATCTAATTATAATCCCAACTATAAATCTCATTACAGAAACTTGCAAGGTTACACTAGAGATCTATCAAAAATATAATACGTACAGCGGCTGGCACAGTATTATTCAAACTTCATTCGTGAAACGAACATCTTTACATGGAACAGAGCGTAAGATGCTTTTGTTTGAAGCTTTCTATCCTTTTACTTTACCTACGTTGGTCGTTACGCTCGCCAAAACACTTTGCCAAAGAAAAGACAAAAGGAAGATGGCAGTTTCTATTAAAAGTACACGATAACGTTAATTTAATTTCTCGTTTGAGAAAAGGGCAAACAGAACGTGTACTAAATGTTCGAAAGATTTCGATAGCGATCGAGTGGATTCGCAACGATGACATTTACCGTGGCCCGGTGTTCCATTATTACAAACGTTACAAAACAGAACTCGTTGATTTCCATCGAGGCATTCACTATGCCAGCTTAATAGACTCGTCAATCACGGCGAATTGAATGATACAACTGACGGGGGGAAGCTTCACATTTTGACGGATTATTATAACACAGTGGTTTCGCGTTATTAACAGTATAATGCCATATTGCTTTGGTATTATACGCTATTTCAATGTGCTCGAATTCATAGAAATACCCGCATACTGCAAATGAGATATCCGGTTATATAATATCGCAAGTTTTATCCACGAATTTTGCCGGATATTTTAGAAAACGAGAAATATCGGATTATCAGAGGGACGACTGTTAAGAATTCTTTACAAATCTACGTGTGACATCGCGATATTTCACGAAATTGAATTTTTACATCAAATCGTCTTTCTTCGCTGCTACGTTAGCGTAACGATGCCAAAAGTTCTTTCTTTTTTAATTAAATAAATATTAGATTGTCCGGAAGGTTTCTTTCGTTTCATAAGGTGATAATAGGTGAACAACAATTTCTGTTTTACATTAATTTAGGAAATGAGAATTATCGGATTATCAGAGGAACGACTGTTGAGAATTCTTTACAAATCTACGTGTGGCATCGCGATATTTCATGAAATTGAATTTTTACATCAAACCGTCTTTCCTCGCTGCTACGTTAGCGTAACGATATCAAAAGTTCTTTTTTTTTTTAATTGGATAAATATTAGGTTGTCCAATCATTTCTGCGTTGTTTCGTTAATTATGGTTTTCTGTTGGATTTATACACCGCATTTAGAATTTTATTTGGCAATGCACGAAATTATTTTACGTTTTATATTTGATAACAGGATTTGTTGTTGTACGTTTCATCGATGAACGTTTCAGCGCAAATTCGTGAAATTACAATCTGCTGAAAATAAGAAGCCGAACAATCGTCCTGTATTAGGTTGTCCGGAAAGTTTCTTTCGTTTCATAAGACGATAATAGATAAACAACAATTTCTGTTTTATATTATTTTACTGAACTACGTATCATCCATTTCGTTCTATTTCTATCATTACGTTTGTGCATAATTTAATAAACTAATACAAAACAAAAAAACATTGTGCGTCTATTATTTTCTTACCAAAGGAAAGAAACATTTCGAACAACCTAATAATAAGAAGTTTGTAGAAACAAAAATATCGTCTATAGACCTCGAAAGAAACGATATATATTTTTAGATCGTTCAGTGACATTGTACATCGATTTAATTCAATTTCTTATTTTCTCTTCTCTTCGACGAAAAAAAAAAATGGATTAACCGTGTATTATTCGTAGTGTAATTTTCTTCCTACAACTTGCAACATCGATACACTATTGTCGTGATGTACATTAGACACGTAGAAATTAGTATTTCCTCGAGCTTGTAAAATAATTTCCATTCTATGTTATTCCTCTATATCCTCGTTAATCAGAGAGGACACGAAATACACAACGGTTGCTTGAAATGAAATTTTAACGAATAAGTAAATACGTGGAAGAAGAATATAGAAAAATATTATAATCCAGATATATTTATTTAAAAGCTGCACACGAATAAAATACCTACTTTAATTACGAATAACGTTTTATCATTCGCCTACCCTAATTGTATTTAATGCATCAAATTATCTGTTTATCAAATTTTCTGTTTTAAATTATTAACGCAATCAGTTTTTCCATTCATCAATTATCGATCTCGCCCACTGCAAAGAATATCGCGCGAAACGACACGAGTATGAAAACGAGTAAAAACGAATAAAAGACAAATTATCTGGAACCAAAGTTTCTCCTATAAAATTAGATCTCATATTTTTTATCTAACAGATTTATACACTTCGTCTTCCAAAAAAAAAAAAAAAAAAAAAAAAAAAAAA